AAATGTATATAGTGCATCATGTTTAAGAAACATATTTAGGATGTATGAGTAATATTCAGCCGATGATTTATAGAGTAACTGAAAAGAAAAAATTAAAGATACCCACAATCCCACCACTCAGCAATTTGCTCTTCTGTGCATATGTTTATTATGCTAAAATTTAATGTTTTTCACAGAAAAATACAAACTAAGACTTGTGGGCAATTCAAAGGATAAAGACAGAGACTGACACCATCACGGGAAACTTCATTACCTGACCATATTAGAAATAATCTATTTAAGCAAACTTCTTAAATTCAGAATCCTGGTTCAAAAAACCCTCAATCTTCTTTAGGGCTTTCCTTCCTAAAAGACCTGGACATAATATAATCCTTACTTCAAGAATCAAAGATCAAATTATCACAAACAACTGGCTATCAATTTGTTCTGTTTTTTCAAGTCTGGGAGCTAGCTTTTCTAGTTTTCCACCCCACTCTAACTTTATGTTTAACCTCTAGCAACTCTACCCCCGACTAAAGTTTTCTAATAAACACATACACTAAAAAGAAAGCTCATGACTCCATGTGTGTTGGAAATAAGTGGCTAAACAAAAATATGGCAAGATATACACAAAGTGTTAACAGACTACTTCTGGGTGGCAGGGCTCAAGCTATTTTTTTCATCATTTTTTGTGTATTTGTATTTTCTACAATCAACATATATGCTTACTTAGTCCCAATAATCATATTAGAAATTAATTATTATGTAGCTTAGGGGAAAAAATAACAAGTATGAGAATTTATGTCTACGGCCATGCCACCCTGAACAAGCCCCATCCCGTCTGATCTCAGAAGCTAAGCAGAGTCAGGCCTGGTTAGTACTTGGATGGGAAACCACCTAGGAAGACCAGGTGTTGTAGGCGTAAAAAATAAAAAATAAGAGATTGTAAGCTGACAAGGTCCTTGCAACCTGTGAGGTCAACCAAAGGTTGCCTCACCTAAAAAACAAACAAACAAAAAAAGGAGAGAACTTATGATAAACAACTTATTCCAAAGGCTGGGTTTTGTAGCCACTATGCTGTATGGTGGGCTCTGATCAGTAGGCATGAAAGAAAATTGTAACTTTACCTTTATGACCCCTCCTAGTTTAGCATCGGCTACAGCCAAAGGTTCATGGGCTTCTTTTACTATTTTCTTCAGAACTTTCTTCAACTGCTTATTGATTTTGCCCTCCATCAGAGCTGTGAATGCTTTTCAGGAAAAAAGAAAACAAGAGTTTAGATTCTTTTAAATTCTTAAAATCTTAAAATCTAAAAGAATTTAGATTCTTTTAATTCTCAAGAGCTTAAGATCTTAAGAAAAAAAAGTTCCTTTCAAAAAGGCTGAATTTAACATTACTTCTGAAATGATAAATGTAAAAATGTTTTACAAATTACACATTTTATAATCTTCTGATTTTGCTTTCCTTATTTCCACTCCAGAACAGGAGTTAAACTATATATAACATTCTTTTTCCTATGCCACCTGAACTCGGAGCTAGAATCATAAAATGCTAGAAGCAATCTATTTTGGAATGGAAGAAAACAAACAAAAAAAACACCACTTGCCTGATGTTCTGAATTGTAAAATACCCTAATATCCCTTTAAGACTGTTAAAAGGGAGTGTATTCATTTTGAAGGATCTATTGCCGTGTAAGCATAACTGAGTGGGGCTTTATCCTTGCTAATCCCTGATCCAGAGGTATCATCAAGCTTAAGCTTGTAAATCTCCAGTGATACAGAACTTACCACCAAAGGCAGCCCTATTCAATTTTGAGACTGCTTTCAATTTGGGTAAATTCTAAATTTTCTACTTTGTAACTCATACTGGTCTTTAGGCCTACACTTACATTTTTCTGTACCCACATGGATTCATGGACTCATGGACTAAAAATTTCTGATATTTGTCTGGGTTTTAGCTGAGTTTAAAGTATGCCTGGCAGGAATGAAGTCTGTCATCGTTTCTAAGGCCAAGCATTTAATCAGCCAGATACTTGCTCTTCCCTCCTGACCACATCTCCATCCATTTGAATTACAAGTCTATTTTATCTGTTATCCGGGAAGATGAAAGGTGAAGACAAAAACCATCTGGCAACCACATAGCTCTTTCAGAGATCTCCACACTCTGAGAAGCTAAGATTCAAGCTATTTTTGTTGGGTTCTAACCTTTTACATTTTGTACAACAACAATGACTCCTTATAATCTACCTTTCTAATAAAAGTTGTATTTTAAGTTTTTAATGTTTCATAATTAAAAACTTATTCAACCTCCTGCTCTTCTCAATCTTCTATATCATCTACTTTTACACTTTGACCTAGTTTGACCTTCATTTACCTTCCCTTTACCAAAAAAAATCTGTTTCTAATATGTATTTTTAAAAGATAGTAAACAGAGTTGGTGACAGGGATAGGGGGAAGCTGAGTCTTTTCTACTGATCATCTTTACTAGCTATTGTTCAGCACCTCCTAGTAGTTTCCTTCTCTTCATCCAAATGTAGGCTGGCCCCAAATTTTACTGTGGCTATTTGGAAGACTTGCAACTTGAAAATTCAACTAAAAGTAAAAATAAACCTCTCCATGCAAATGTCATATTTGAACTTCTGGGACCAATATAAATTATTAATATCATACCCCATCAGACTCTTAGGCTATAGGGTTTTAAATACATACTGACATCTTCAGCCACTGAGTTTTGATTCTGTTATGTCAAGCTTTGTAATAAGCAGTAGGAAGTTAAATTTTCAGGAAAGACTCTGTTCTTTTAATAAGGCAATGTTCAACTTTTTGGCTAAAAAAAAAAAAAAAAAATACGGGGGGGAGAGAGAGAGGGAGGGAGGGACGGAGGGAAGGGGAAAAAAGCATTGTAGAGGTTTCTATGACCAAATTCTTTCATTCGTTAACACAAAAATATTTATGTGCCACAATGTAAGGATTTGACAGTCAACAACATAGTCTCTGCCTTCCAGGAACATAGATGGAGGTTAGGAGTGTCAGAGGGTTCTCACCTAGTATGGTATTTCCCTCATTCATCTTATATTATTTTAAGGAATACCATAAGCTTGGTAGGAAAATGAGATATCTCTCAAGCCTGTTTTATCACCTGAAAAATAGTGATAACATTACCTACCTCACAGGATTACTTCAAGGATTAAATAATTTTGGATTGATGAGTAAAAAATCTGACAAATCACTGTGATCCATGGATTAGCTACAGTAAAAACCTGCTCCGTGATCGTGTAGAGGCTGGACCTGCCCATGCAATAGTTTAATAAGGACTGGTCAGAACAAATTGGGATAGGGCTACAGTGCCTTATATTTCCAAGAGGAGCTGTTAAAATCAGTCTATGTGAACACGTCCCCAAGTTGGAGAATAGCTAACACAATCTTGCTTGGGATTTCACCGAAATTTTACCTATATTTAATTTTAAGGCCGTGATGAACCAAACTATCAAAATAAAGTTCTTCAGCCAAAAGTATCACAGTTGTGCTTTATGGCTCTATGAGACTTTAATTACTAATGTACTGATGAAGATGGGGTGGCCAATTAATAATAATGTTTCCTAATTTTCACAAGAGAACTATACCCTTATCCTGTGGCTGATGAACAAAATTATCTGGGTCTGTTAAATTCTTGCCTAATTTTAAGCCATATTCTTCCTTATGGACCTTCATTTTCAAATTATACCACCAAGTAGTTTTGATTTGATATAGAATTAATGCAACTGAAAAATTTATGATTAGGGTTTATATTTGGCCTTTTTGTTTACCCCAACATTAAAAAAACCAACTGCCTACTGAAGCCAAGCCTAGTTAATAAATCCTATTTACTGTATGTCATGCCATCATGAGGACTAGTTGGAGGATATGAATCATCCATTCTTCCAAATCATTAAAAACCATGTCCCCTTTAGATAACTCATACCTCTCCATAATTTTTGTATTAAAACACATACACACACAAACCTGTTTTCCTAAAACTTTATTAAAATGTTGTGCTTTTTATGAACTAAAAATGCACCCTTAGAGAGCTGTTTTAATATTTCAACTATGAATCCTGGCTATTTTCAAATTATCCTTGGATTAAAATGATCAGAGAGCTGTACGCTTCACCACATTACCTTGGTCCCTTGTAGAATAGCTTTTACTGAATTGTGCTTTAGCATTATGCTGTTGGTTTCCACAGGGAGATCAACTTAACCACTTCTCAGCTCTCATCTCAGCCCTATGGTAAAAAAAGCTAACTCAATGTTGTCTCAGTGGTAGTGACGAATTTGTTAAATCACTTAAACTCAGTTCCAAAAAGAATACATCATTGACAACATTGAATAAGGTTAACTCAGGCAACTGAAGCAAACAATTTTTTAATAAGGATAACAGTGTCAAGATTAAAAACAAAAACAAGATAGGTAGTCTTCGACTTTACCTGCTAATGCTTCTGCTGTATCCTGAAATTTCTCAAAATGTTTTAGCTTCACTCTAGAATTAAGGAAAAAAAAAAAGTTATAGGTGTATGCTGACGTCTGCAATAGCTACAGGAAAGGGTGTTGTTTCCCAAAGTATATACGGATAAAAGAAACTTTCCTGTCATTGGGTATCGGCGTGCAAAATTAGATATTATTAAAATGACCAGTTTCTCTAAATGTTAGGCTAATAATATTTGACTATTATAGAGGATGTTTTATGCATTGAAAGAAGCATAAACAGCAAAGAGGTTTGCTACCACATTTAAACTACAAGAAAGATGCTGAACCTTAAAGATGCATAACCTCTGCTGCTTAAAGCTAGATACAAGATGTCTTACTATACAGCACAGAAATAGCCTAAGGTGTTAAGAGTCCATCTTATGTCAGGAATCTCATGACCTCTGATTTATTCATCTAGTACAAATGCCATTAAACAATAGCTTATCCTTATTCTCTCCTTCTCCATATACTCATGCATAGGATAACATCATCTTATATCAAAACAAATACATACATTTAATTCATTGTTGTCTCAGTGGTAGTGACGAATATTTGAGATCACTTACATTCAGTTCCAACAATACATCACTGACAACAACGAATCAGATTAACTCAGCCAACTGATGCACGCAGCCCTTTAAAATAAAAAACTAGTCTTCTGCTCTTTCTAAAATAGTGTTATCTTAAGCAAGGTTTTCTCAATTGCTCAGAGAACACCTTGGTAGCCCTTTAAATACATGCTTAATAGTACAAAGATTTAAGGAAAGCATGAATTTCATCTTATTCTGCCTCACCCTACACCCATTTGCACCCTTCTTAGGTGGCATTTGTTCATATCTCTCTACTTGCATAAATGCATATATAAATATGCAAGAAAACAGCAAAAATGAGATCACATTATATGAACTCTGAAGCACGGTTTTCTCAGTATATCATGGACCTCTCTCTAGGTCAACAAGAGATCTAGAGATACACAATTTATTCAACAATTCCATTACTGATGGACATTTAAATTATTAAAAAAAATATATTTTTTTGCCATAACAAATGCGGCAGCTCTGTATTTTGTTTCTCTAATTGTTTAGTATGACATTTCTTTGGGCTCAACACTCTTTTGTAAGCTTAAGTAGTTTCCTTCCATTGAGTTTTTATTAGCACTAACAAATGAATTATCAAATGTACCTTAGCATCCACGGACATAATCCAAATCTCTATGTATCAAAAGATTAATCCAGTTCCCAGGTCCATACTCACCAAATAGGATACTTCAGAACATGATTCACAGATGGTGAAATAGCTATCTCAGCTCTACCTTGAGGAAAAGCCAGCTCTAGCTCTTTTTCCTACCACTCATTCCCTAGGCTGGGCATCAGAAATTACATACAGAAATTACACTGTGTTTTCTCATCCAGAGATCGTGGGGAACTCAGGTATAACTTTCTAGGATTTACTACCTAGTTATTATTTCAGAGGGAGATAAGAGGTCAAAGTCATAAAGCATGAATAAACTGCAAATTAAGTTAAAAACATTGGAATATCACTTAGAGAAACTAAAAGTTAAACCAATCAGTAGTCCATGCTTTTGACAAATATTACTTTTAACAGAAATTTATACTTAATTCACAATCAACTTACATTTTCAAATATCTTACAAAACTGTAATTTTGTGGTGCTGTTCAATCTAGTCTACAACTAATATGAATTAGCTGAGGTAACCTATACTCCAAATGAGGAATTTAATTAGGCTCATATCAATACTATTCCTGAAATACATTTCAAAACAAAAAGTTATGAATATAACATTATATGAATCTCAAGAAAATATAAAAGAATCCCTAAATGTAAATTGCTAAATCCTGAGTTTCCAGATGACTTACATTTTATTTGCTTTTTCTGGAGTTTCAAATTCTTTCCACAAACTATCAACCTCTTGAAGTTTCTTCTCATTCAAAACCTGTAATACATATTTACATAATTTTCTTTAATTGACACAGCTTAGACATGCTACACTCTTTGAGTACAATTGTACATGTAAAATGAGGGTGGTAAAGCTATTTTTCTCTCTGAAATAAGGAACCAGTTTCCTTACTCTGCATACATTTTTGGTCAAATTATTAGCTCAAGTAGCACATTTAATAACTAGACAGAATTCAGATCTAGTTGGGGGGTCTTTGTTGAAAATTTTCTATTTTTAACTCCTTCAAAAAAACATTCACAGAACATCAAAAGACTTTCTTTAGAATATTTTTAATATGCCATTTTTTTACGCCAATTAAACTGACCTGCCACCAATTGTAAGATATCCTAATTTTCAGGGATGTTAAATATGAGGAAATATGCATTTTAGGATTGATCCTACCCTATCTTATTCTTGAGCAGTTGACTTATCACACAGCATTATTGGTGAGGCTGTAGAGAAATAACTTTTATTCACTCTTGATTTAAATGAAACCAACAGAACCTCTTGAAGGCAATTTGGTAGCATGTGTCAACATAACATACAGATATCCTATATGATCAATTAACTATTTTGTACAGAATAACTTTTTTTATTTACTGCTTTAATCACCCTAACATATTATGGATCTCTCTGAAATTAAGATACAATCAATTGTAAGATATATCCTGATGTAAGAAAATTAAAAATGCAAAGGAAAGGGGCACATTTAATCTGTGAAACAGTCCTTAACATTTAGGGATATATTGTTCCAAGACTTTTTGATAATCTATGTGATTTTATTTATGCATACTTAGAGTAATCATACCATATACTTAGCATAATGTGGACATAATTCTAGGTTTTAACATACGCCATCATTTATGCCCTTATTATTATTTAGGTTATTTCTAAATTTTCCCTATTATCCTTCAGAAAAAAAATATTTTTATGTATACATGTTGTATTTCTATAGAACTACTGGAGTTAATTGGTCATAATGGATATATGTATTTTATACTGACAGATGCTACCAAATTGCCTTCAAAAGATTCTATTAGTTTCACTTAAATCAAGAGTGAACAATATTGCCATTGCAGACAACTCCAATAAGAGGAAAAATAAGCAAAGTCAGTTTTTGGTTTTTGATTAGTATTTTATTTGTTTTCTCAAAAATAACAAGTACTTAACGTAAGTGCAAACAGAAATATATTTCCTGGCAAGGATGTGGATGGTGAAAAGGGAACCATGTGCACTGTTGGTGGGATTAAAATTGGCCCAGCCACTATGGAAAACAGTTGGAGGTTCCATAAAACATTAAAAATAGAACTACCTTATGACCCAGCAATTCCACTTTTTAGAATTTATCCGAAGAAACCCCAAAGAGTAATTCTAAAAAATATATGTACCCCTATGTTCATTGAGGTGTTACTTACAATAGACAAGATATAGAAGCAACCTAAGTGTTTATCGATAGACAACTGGATAAGATGCAATACATACATGCAATGGACTGTTATTCAGCTATAAAAAAGAATGAAATCTTACCATCTGCGGCAACATGGATTGAACCTAGAAGGTATTATGCTAAGTGAAATAAATCAGAGAAAGACAAATACCATACAATCTCACTTATATGAGGAATCTAAAGAACAAGATAAAACAATCACTCATAAATACAGAGAACAAACTGATAGTCATATGGGAGGGGGTTAGGAAGCTGGGTAAAGAGGAATAAACTGGTAGCTACAAAATAGTCATGGGGATGTAAAGTACAGCATAGGGATTATAGTCAATAACACTGTAAGAACTACGTATAGTGCCAGCTGGGTAGTAGATTAATGGGAGGAATCACCTCTTAAATTTATATAAATGTCTAACCACTATGCTGTACACCTGAAACTAATAATGCCAACTATAATTGAAAAATAAAAACAAAACAAAAAGAATATTTTCAAATGTCAGAAGAGAAATTTGGAAACCATAGTAGCTCTCCCACATCAACATTTTGGTATGTACCTTTCCAGACTTTCTACGTCCACGCCATAGTTTTTTGATTCACAACTAGATTCATACGATATATCTTACTTAGATTTTTTGTCTTATATTAGCATATATAAAAAAATTTTGGTTTTCCCTGCTCTATTCATAGGGCTCAGAAGAGTGCCTGGTATGTGGCCTGCACTTAATTTACCTCATTCTTTCTAACATCAACAGCATCTCACTATATGAATGTCTCATTGTTCCATCATTTCTGTGCTGATTAATCTTAACTTCAAACTTTCCCTATTAAAACGACTTAAACTCAACTTGATTATCACCAGTCCATATTTCTCCCCCAGCCTTCAAACTTGAAATGACCATTGCATTTCCACGTGTAGTAAGACATTGCAAGTTTCATACAGGTCAAATCCAACAATCTGTTTCTCTTCCCTATCATCACGCACCCATTTAAACCAAAAATCTACATTCAAACCTTTAGCCAATTGTCAGTTCTACCTTTAAAATTCTCCCGACATTCCCTTTCATTCCAACCTTAATACAAGCAATTTTGTCTCTAGATTAATGCGAAAACACTCTTGCTTTTTTTTTCTTGACCCCTCCATACCCAGTAATCTACTCTTTACACAGTTCAGCAACTTTTTCATAATCTGCAAACTTTTAACACGGCTCCTGTCCACCTCTTTAACTCAGGACCCGGCGTCCCAAACGGCGGGACCACGTGTTTACTGAAAAGTGCGCCTACCAGGCCCCAAGCCTCCCGCTTCCTTTCAGAGCAGGGAGAAATAAATGGTAAACACGCTATTCTGAACAGTGTTGTCCTCTCCTTAGGACTTTCATTCTCAGCTGCCCAACACTCGCCTTCCCTCTCCAACGGCTCAATTTCCCATCTACCTTAAAGATGGCGTAGCCGACGGACGTTTCAAACAGCACCAACATGGTGAGGCCGGATCAAGACGCTGCGCGGCCAGCCGCGAGCTCTTAAACCTGTGGAAAAAGAGAAAACTTGTGGCTCTCTGGTCCGCAGGGCCGCGTCGGGCCAAGCAAAAACACGCACGTCTGCCCACAAAAAAATCAGACCACGCTGCCTAAACCTTCCACACCGGACTGTATGCAGAACACGTGAACGCGCTTCTACTTCTCCAAGGACTCTGGGATGTGACATCATTTCCGACGCATTACGTGTCGCGTAGCAGGTCGTCACTTCCGCAATATTCCCGCCACAGGAGAGCAAGAAAATATCGCGAGATTTTATTGAGGCGCTAAACGAGTTTTTATGCGTCTCGATTGCATAGAAATCTGGAGGGGGAAAACTTTGCATTTATTATTGTTTTTTAAACGCCCATGTATGACATATTGAGAGAAATGCGGAGCTGTTTCGATGTCTTTCTCAGGCATATGGAATTTGGGAAATGCTAACGTTTAGACTCTACCCCTGCCTCTTTATAGTGTTTTATAGTATGCTTTATAATTTGTCATGGTTTACATAACAAAAGCCATCTGCTAGAGAATGGAATTTGTATCTTACACTTACTTCTATCCATATAGAGCATCACGTTGTGCTAGTCATGAAGTAGGATCTCATTAAGTAATTTGTATACATTTAATGAATGAGTATCCTCAAGAAGTTAAATTCTTTTCCTTGGCATCTAAAGCTTGCACTCT